GTAGAATGTGATGATCATTATTATCCAAAGTACATAGGTGAAGACATGAATTGATGTGAATATACTATGTATACAACCAGAGATATGAAAAATTGAGCTCTMTMTATRTAATAAGAATTGTAATGCATACGGCTTTTATGTATAAATAAAAAATAAATTTAAAAAAGAGTTTGAAAGCAAAAAAAGAAAAGAAAAGAAAATCAAAGAAAAGTGGGGGTTGGTTGCCATGGCTCTTGCTATTGGAGCCTGGGGATCCTGCCCATGGGATCTAAAGGCAGACCAGACTTAAGACCCTCACCCAGCCTTAGAGCAAGAAAACTTGAAGGGTTTTTTCCACAGGCTATGTCTTGGGTGACTTTGCCTGTTGAGCTTGCTGTCGGTACTTAACTCTATGGAGCTATGTCCTTGGTAAACAGGGCACTGTCAACTAAGGCAGAGTGAATTGACATGCCCTGTGAACCCCTCCCTGTGATTCATACATGAGGCTCTTGCTGTATGAATGGGATCTGAGATTGGCTCATGTTCATAGGCCCAAAGACCTACCAGCAATGGGTGTTATGCGTGGATGTGTCTGGTACATCCAATAATTTTCTTTGACGTTGCACACAGAGGTTAGGCATTGGTTTCCAGTGGCCACCAGGGAACCYTGGTCAAGTTTACTGTATCCTCAGGACAAAGGTTTTTAGACTTGCAATTTTTACCTACTTTCCCGGGCAGCAGCCACCACTCACTGCCTAGCCAGACGACTGCCCTGTCGTGATCAGCACCTCCTCGTTGGAACTTTTACTCTCTTCTGTAGCAGGTAGATCATCTCTCCACTTTGAGAGCTGTATTTTTAGGGTGTGTCAGAGCATTCTTAAGAATGCTTCCTATTGTGCTTTCAGTCTACTTAAAATAGGAAAGGGAAATAGAAAAGAAAAAGTAACAAAAATCACTGGTTAAGAAACAAATACTAGTATTTTCAAAGCCCACTGGCTCTGATCCTGTAATCAATTGTCGGACATAACAAACTTTCTCTCCACCAGGAAACATCTATATGGATTATTTCATTACAACTCCATGATGCTTGGTCTTGAATCGCTTCCGGATCCCACAGACACCTGGGAAATTATAGAGACCATTGGTAAAGGCACATATGGCAAGGTCTACAAGGTCACTAATAAGAGAGATGGGAGCCTGGCTGCAGTGAAAATTCTGGACCCCATCAGTGTAAGTCACTGTACTAAGCTATAACCACAGTCTCGTGTTTCAGGCGCATAGAGCTTTCTACTGATTTTAGGGATAGTTTTCATGAAAGCTGACAGGAAATCTTAAAATGGGTCATGATTTGTCAGCTCTTCTGAAGGAAGGGACTCTTCTTGGAGTTAAACTTTACTTGACTTTTGTTTCTTTCTGTTTGACCATTGGTTTGGTTTTGGCCCTCTGGGCTCTTCAAAAATTACTCTCTTTGGAAAAGAGTGGTGTATTTCACTCCTAGTTTCCCTGTAGGTGCCAAAGTGACCTGGACTTGTGATATTCGATCATCCTAGGTTGACATCTTATTTCAGAGCACTGGAGTTAGAATGCTCCATGTCTTTTTGCACATTGAACTTGTGTGTGACCTATCCTGTGTCAGGTCCCTTCAAGATACTTCTGCTTAACTGCTTTAAAAATTTAGACGTTTTTCAATAAAAAAGATATTTATAATAGTATCGTTAAGAAAAAGAGAATGTCACAAAGAAATATTAATGAATTAATAACTGCAAGATTTAAATCAGGATCTGAATCTCTGTTAGGTTTTTTGAAGATAAGATAATGATGACATTAAAAGTATATGTGTTTTATTAATCAATTCAGCATAATGCCGTACGTGGGCCTTTCTCTGCACTTTTGTCTTTATCCAATGTGTGTGTTTTTCTTACTTTGTTTAGGATATGGATGAAGAAATTGAGGCAGAATACAACATTCTGCGGTTTCTTCCGAATCACCCCAATGTTGTAAAGTTTTATGGGATGTATTACAAGGCGGATCACTGTGTGGGAGGACAGCTATGGCTGGTCCTGGAGGTAAGAGGCTCCTGTTGGGTAACCATTGATTCAAACAGAATGCCAGGGGCAAGCAGATACTTCAATAGTGTTTTACACACAGGAGCAGGTCTCTCCTGTGTGACACAGATACCTTACCTGATATGGAATTYTCTCCTGTTCTCACAGGTAGGCTGCATACTGAGAAAATTTTTATTCTTGTTTCTCTCCTCAAAAGTTTAATCATCTTTTCATCTGCTAGAGAGCAAATACAGGAATCCAATTGGAAAAGATTATTTTTGTCCCCTAGACTACAAACAATTCTTAGAATATTGTCCAATTAATTGCAACTCATTTTTAAAACTTATAAACCCAAGAGGTTCTTGGCTTACCATATTTGGATTGGCTCATCCGCATTCATTAGTCCTCCTCATAGATTGGATTTCCTGCAAAGTGACTCTGAGAGTTGCATATAGAAGGCTTACTTGGAGAGTTCTGGAAGAGGGATAGGTTTGGAAGAAATCGTGGAAAGCAGATGTGGCAAGATAGACATTGAACTGTGATGTGGTTGTAACTAAGGCCTCAGCAGATCCTCTGAGGAAGTGGAGAGCTGGGCCTTYGAAGAGTTGTCCTGAACTGTTATCTCTATGTTGGCCCGTCATTGGCTGCACCCTGCCCCTGGGAGGGAGCATGACCTTGGGGGAGGCAGTTAACTATACTTGGGGAGAATTTCTAGGAGGGGTGCATCTGGGAGCTGAGAGCAGGGAGCAGGAGATACTCCTACCAGCATCTGCTGTCAAGAGGGAATTTGAAGGGACAGCACTATAGCCCTCCATTTTCTCTCTTTTGTAGGCAGGAATGAATGTGTGTATCTGGATGCAAAAGGGTCAATTCCTCAAACTCCAATTCTCCATGGGACTAAAATAACAAGGACAATGGGACAGGCCTCTACCTCATTCTCACCAGGCCCACCCTGATTTGATATGTTGCAGTCATAGCACCTCAGGTGTGGCCAAAGTAGCCAGGAAGGACCTTGGCAGATGAGAAGGCACCGTGAGAGAGTGCCCTGTGCCGGTGCCTCCCTGCCAGCTTCCTCTTGTTTTTTTCAGGGTGACCACAGGCAGATAATGAGGCTGCCCTGAGACACTGAATTCGTTATACCTTAACAATATGGCATGCTGACATTTATGACTTTTGCTGGTTGTTTTGGCTCATCCCAGAGCTGATAGATGGGATGCTGAATGTCTTCAGTCTTTTCTGTCCCGTGATGGGCCCTATAATCAGGTTGCTGGATGGTTGGGTATACCCAGAACCTCTGAGTCTTATACAAACACAAGATTTCTGGACTTCCAACACAGGCAGGAGCCTCAGATTTTCTTCAGTTCAGTCCTTTGGTGTTCAGTTCAGGGACAGAGGCCCAGGGAGCAGAGCAACATGCCTACAGTCACATAACCAGTTAGATGCCAGAACTGGAGGGAAAGCCTCTGTGTTAGTCAGTTTTTTGTTACTATAACAAAAGACCTCAGATACAGAAGCTTAAAAGAGGATAGGTTTATTTGGTCCACAGTTGTAGAGGTTTTAGTCTATGGCTGATCGGCCAGTTGCTTTTGGGCCTGTGAAGAGGCAGTACCTCATGGTAGGAGCACATGGTGGAGGACGCTGCTCACCTATGGTTGCTGGGAAGAAAAAGAGAAAGAGGAAGGGCCATGGCCCCCAGTATCCCTTTGAGGGCATGCCTCCAACTAGGTCCCAGCTCCTACGGGTCCCACCAGCTCCAATAACACCAGCTGGTGACCAAGCTGTCAACATGTGGTTCTTTGGGGAAGGCTTCTCAGAACCATAGCACCACGCTCCAGCCTGCTCTGTCATCATACCCTGTGCTGTGTGTGATGTTGGGGGGTATGGAAACACAGAATTGGGGTCTTCAGTTGGGATCGTGACATTTCCTGACCACACACAGAGCTGCGTGACAGTGACAGGCCACAGAGAGCACCCTTGCTTGCTGTGTTGCTTCATTGCAGCTTTTTAAGGTGTGCTTTAGAAAATGCACACAACAAAATCACCATCTGTTAGTATTGTTCTTCTCATCCTGTGTATTGAGATTAAATTTATGTTGCCTTTGCTCTTTCCTTGCTGAATGTGGTGAAAGGACAGGTGAGAAGCTATTCTACACGGCAATTTTAGAGGATAGGAAAATGTTATTAATAACTCCCTTAAATCACCTTTACTCTGAAAACAAAAGCAAATAAAAATGTCATTTCTGAAATTCATTCCTAATTTGTTAGTAGAAAGCAAACAAAAGCTCCCTTTCATGATAGACATCATATATTAGAAAGGTATGGAGAGAAAACATACATAATGCTGTGGAAAATTTGCGAGTGTTTTATGTTAAGTGAATATTAAATTCTTAAACGTCTGCAAATCCTATTGTCTCTCACCTTAATAAAATGTAATAAGGAATTAAACCTTTAAGCAAAACACAATACTCAGAAAGAATATCTAATATGTGCAAAGACATAAACTATATTTTCTCTTTCTCCTTTTAGAGTAATGCCTTGACAGGTAGAAGCTATTCATTTTAGCATGAATCAAATGTTTAACTTAAAAGGTTGAGAGTGCTGTAAATAAGACTGGAAAGAAAGAAAAGAAAAACTTTGTTTTTAAGCCTGGTTAAATAAATTAGTTCATARAAATCTGACCCCCTTTCCTGAAATATAAGTATAACCTCAGTATCTAGGTATGTAGAGTCAAAGCGGGGGTCTGTGTCTGTTCAGTGTTTGTTTTTACATATGGCCCTAGAAAGTCCAGTCTAGGCCTGAATATCATTGGAAGTGTTAGAAATCAAACCATTGTCACCCACTGATACAGTGACCTGGAAAGTCCAGAAGGTTAACAAATCAGGGTTTCAGCAGGATTCGAATGGGGGAACAGAACTGGTAGGTTCTGATGGGCCAGAGACAGGAAGAACTAAAGTATTGAACCCCGACTTAGACAGTAGCTTCTGGCAAGTCTGGAATGAGAGTCATTGGAGATGGGGAGTCAAGATGATGGACAGAACACTTGGATGGATGAAATKCGACAGAGCAGCATCCTGCATGCATTTTCTCTATGTGCTCATAAAAGATGGCTAAGAAGCTGAGGTGTGGCAGTGATCCTGCTCACCCATGACTGTACCTTACGTGTGCCAATGGAAGCTGAGATGGGAGGTGGGAGCTTCAGAGCCAACCTACCTCTTGTGGTATGAGCATCTCCCTCTGATGCAACTCTGATGCAACTCTAGGGTGTCAAGTGACATGGTTTTCATTTGTCTGTTTGCAAGCCAGTGACTGGTACTCATGATCTATTCCCTCACAGGGGGAAAATGTGCTGCTCTGGACTGAGATAGAGATTGTGTCCAACATGACACTTCCTGAGTTATCTTCTAGGGTAGTTTTGACTCTGACGTTTGCTTTATGTTCTCTGTAGAACCTAATAGTCCTGAAAGACCTTGATCTTGACAGCCTAGTGAACAAAATAGCACTGAAAAGAAATTCTTTTTTTTTTTTCTGCCATCTGACTGAGTCACATCAAATGGGTAGGCACAGAAGCTGCTTGACAGTTGGAGCCTGGGCTGGGACACAAGTCTGGAGATTGTGTGCAAAAGAGAGTTGATGGCTTATTGAGCAAGGAATATTTTATTGCTTGAAATTATGACTGTCCTAACAAATGCATATACTGTGATTGAATCAATATTCAACGTGTTTTGGAAAATAGATGTGGAATGTAAATGATTTTTCTGTTTTTCTTGGTTTGGAGTAAAATGCTCATTAAATTCTAAATGCATCCAGCAGCCACATTTCTGAATGCTGAGGGTGTAGGGAGGAACCGCAGGGATGGAGACACACCTCTGTACTTGAATCTGATAGCTGGCAAAGTGGGTGGGAATGAAGGGCTTATGTGCCAACCCTCTGGGCTGGGGCAGGAGGCTTGGTTGCCTTCTTCCAACTCTAAAGGGATTTTTTTTTTTATTTGGTGCATTTAAATATAATTCTTGTCATGTCCATTTCACTGAACACCTACTCTGGATAGATAATTATGAGTATGTACCTGCATACCTGCATTCTTTTTTTTTTTTTTTTTTTTTAAATATCCAATTGGCCGAAGTGTTTTTTCTATAACCCGCAGGCTGCACTTTAAAAACCTTGCTGGTGGGCTTGTCAACTTCACAGGACAGCTTCCTTTAAAGGTGCCCTGAGCAGTTTAATTATACGTTTCTGTGGATTCTGGGAAGTCAGATAGCTCTTAAACTCTGACATTTAGTGAACAAAAGGCACTGCCTGAGTAAGATCCCTTTGTTGTTTTGAAATCCACAGCTGAGTTTTGATCCTGCTGACAAATAACTGCTCTGAATCCCTTCATGGGTTCTGAGGCTCTGAAGAAAGTTTGTAAGTTGGCGACCACCTAAAATATGGCTCAAAAGGCCCTAAGTGGCAAATTCAGCCACACATAGGGTAGGGAAGGAGAAAGGAGGTACAAGGGAAGATTATAGGCCTGTATTTAGCTTGGGTCTTTACCTAGCATTGAATTCAAATTTTCTCTTGGTAAAATTTCAAAAGTGCATTTGTAATTCAAGGAAGTGTGTGCCTCCCCCGAGATGGGAGTCAGGCTGGGGAGTGTCCTGACAAGGGCACTGTCCTGTCTTGCATTCCTGTTACTCCTTTGCCCTGGAGGAGGAAAGGGTGTTGAGATTTCTCTCAGTCTCGCAGCATCTGCAGACTCTTGTCTCTTCTTCACCTTCCACATCCAGTGGATCAGGAGTTTCTGTTCATTCCATCTCATAAGAGCCTCCCAAACCTGCCCTGTCCTTGTCATCCTCCTGACTTGACTTTTTGACCCTTCCTCCCTCGATGGCTTCAGCATCTCCTGATGGATACCCAGGTCTTTCTTCTTCCATCCATGCTCCAATCTACTGCCTGAGTCGTCTTTCTAGAATACAGATCTGAACATTAAGACCCTCTACCTAAAAGCTTAGTTTCCTTATCTAATGATATGTCATGCTATTAAAAATAGATCTAGAATAATAAAGCCCATAATCCTTAGAAGGGCATATCTGTCATTCATTCCTTTCCCCAACTTCTTTCCCTATCTCCCTAACCCAGGATCCTTGCACCCTTTGTCCCAAGAATAGCAGTGTTTAGAATTCATGAGCACATGCATGCACACGCACGCACCCCCACCCTCACCTCTTTCCTGTTTCCTTTATTTGTACGGGATGTTCCCAGACTTCTTTTCCTAGGGTACTCTTCTCTTTCTTACCCTTCTGCTCCAAATTCATTTGTCCTTCAGACTTACAAATGTTATGGCCTTCAGAAGAATTTCCCAGGCCAACCCCTTGTGGTCACCCCCTATCAGAGTTCAGTCTTCCCTCTTTGGTGCCAATACACTCCTACACTCCTAGGCACACCCTCAGCCCATACCCAGTTTCTCAGGTGTCCATTCCTAGGTGTCAAACCCTTTGAGGCTAGGGATTGTGTTGTATTTGTGATTGAGTAATAGTTTATAAACTGGCCAAACTATTGGGAATAAAGAGGTGCACATTGAATATTATTTGTCCTTTCAGAGTCATGGAAGGCAACTAGAATTGAAAGAATACAGAGTTCCTCAGAAGGTGGCGTTACACTGTATTTTTTTTTTTGCCATTATAATAAAATACTTGAGAAAACTAACTTATAAAGAAAAAAGGTTTATTTGGGCTCACAGTTTTAGACGTTCCCGTCCATGATTAGCTAGACCCATTGCCTTTAGGTTTCTGGTGGGGATGCAGGTTAGCAATGTGAGGAGCAGGTGACAGAGCACACACCTCAAGTCATGGCTAAGGAAGCAAATGAGAAAGAGGAATGGAAAGGATCCTACAACCCCCCCCCCCACTTTCTCTCTGTGTGTGTGTGTGTGTGTGTGTGTGTGTGTGTATCTTTATCTTCACTGACCTTAGGGCCCTTCCTCCTAAAGGTTCCCAGCACCTCCCAATAGCACCACCCTGGGGACCAACCTTTAACATATGGGCTTTTGGGGAACATTCAACTTCTGTACGAATAGAGCAAAGATATGATGCAGGCACTCAACATTAGGGACATTAGAGGCATCCTGTTAGTCTGACATTGCTAGACAGTAGATTCTAAGATCACTTCCTCTAATCCCAAACTGGACCATCATAGTCTTTAATGCATTTCATTGCTTTTAGGATCCCTCCTAAATAATTCCCAAGAGATGATAATTTTATGTTTGTTTTAAAGATTCCCTAATTCTATATGAGATTTGTAGTCACGATATGTCACTTATGAGCAATTTATGATGGCTTGTGCCAAACCCAAACCTGCACATTGACTTCTAGGGTTAGCAAAAATTATCCTTGAAAAACTCTTAAATTGCTGAGAAAGTACAAGATACCTGCTTTCTGTACTCATACTTCACTGATATAAAACAAAGTCACAAAGTGAAATCTTATAGTGTTTTAAATTATAGGGACAGAGAGATGCTTAAAGTTGCTGGAAAAGCTAAAGTTGAATACGAGAAGGCCAAGCACCTATGACATAACTCTGCCCCCATAAACCTGACACGCATTGATTGGCACATCTAGAAAGAGCTACTGATCAGGCTTCTGATGTCTGCAGTGAATCACTGAAAATCACTGAAATTTATTTCCTGTTGGTTATCAAGGGCATCTATCTTGCCTCTTCCAGTCCTTCCTTATCCTCAAAATGCACATTTGAACAAAAAAAGAAAAAAGAATAATAGGCACGTCAGATGAAAAATATCCAGTAAGCCACCATGATTTCTTAATAAGCTTTGCCCGCAAAAATTCTAAATCATAATTTGTGCTTTCATGTTTTACTTGACAATTAAAAAAGTCAGCTTTTTTGGGTGAACACTTTGGCTCATAAATCCTTACCTTGAATAAAGAACACAAGTGCACACAGAGCTAGATTTGACTGGCTATTGAAAATTTGAAGTCTAATTACTCCAGGATGGAGTTTGTGATCGGCAATTTTACTATGTTGAGTGAGTAACCAGTGGGATTCCTTCCTAATTGACATTTCTTTCTTTCTTTTTTTTTCTACTCCTCCTTTCTGCCTGGCACCTCTCATCACAGCTGTGTAACGGGGGCTCTGTCACTGAGCTGGTCAAAGGCCTTCTCAGGTGCGGCCAGCGACTGGATGAAGCCATGATCTCCTACATCTTGTACGGGGCTCTCTTGGTAAGAATGTTCTTTGAGCTGGGGATGGCAGCTGATGGGACAAGTGGTCCATCATGGGGGGCCTCATTGTATCTTAATGACAGGGAAAGTGCCATTTAATATGCAAGGGATATTGACAAAAAGAAAGTGGAGTCAAATGTGGACTTTGATTAGACTTTGTAATAGTGGGGTAATTGCTTTAAAATAAGCGTGTAAATCTCCCCTTCCTCTCTCCTGGTGGCCTTGCAGGGCCTTCAGCATTTGCACAACAACCAGATCATCCACCGGGATGTGAAGGGGAACAACATTCTTCTGACGGCAGAAGGAGGAGTCAAGCTCGTTGACTTTGGTAATGACTGTGTGTCATTTGTTTTCTTGATGTGTGCAGTTTAGCCAAAGGGGACAATTTACTGCAATCTCAGAAGACTGACGCCTCTCTGCTACACCACAGGCTGAAGGACTTCTCCAGTCAAACGCAGGCTGGGGAGTGGGGGGCTTACCAGATGGATCACCCTAGGAGATGCTGTTTGTTAATCGATTTTCAGCTTTAGTAGCAATTTTATTAAAGATAGAAAATAAAAGTGTTGCAAAAAAATAAATAAAAAGAACTTGCTGGGATAGTTTTTGGTTTTCTGCTAAGAATTTCACATCTCAGGGCAATTGTTTATAATTTGCATTTTTTGTCCTCTCTTCTTTTGCATATGAAAAGAGAAAGCAGTTTGGTTTTTCAAAGGACTTTCACTAGCCTTAGGCATACTTATTCCCTGTGAGCAGAAGGTAGGATAGTCCTTTGGGCCTCAGAGCTAACATCTCTTTAAATTGTGATTATTGCTGCGACACATAAGGATGGTAGAACTGAAAACATTAAGGGGAAATGGAAGGATGGGAGGAAATGCAGACAATGTCACCTGAGGCCAGAGAACTGAAATATCTTTTCACAACATTTAGATGTTGATATTGGCAAACCAACAAACCATTTGGTTTTCCATTTTAGGTTTATGGGCTGGTTTATTCTTATAAATGAGTTCAATACTAGTTAGTTCCTTAGGGTCATTGCTACAAATGATGAAAAAAACATTTAGATAACATTTCAAAATGTTATCAATATCATCATAATAAAAACAAGACTAACAATTTTGAGTATTCATCATTTTATTGGTAAGAAAGAATTTGGCATAAAAATATGTCAGCGAATCATTTGCTTTTCAGAAGAAATTACTTAAAAGCAAATGAAGTTCTTCCAGGTGTATTCATCTGTTTACAAAACAAATAAGCAAAGAAAAATAGCAGGGGAATACTTTGTTCTTATGCTCCTCTTTGAATTGGAGGAATCGAGTTTCAACATTGCGCTGTGTGTGTAGCAGAGATATATTTTCCACGTGGTCCAGAGGGCAGTGCATATGTTGGGAGGGAAGTAGCCTGCAAGGAGGCAGTTAAGGATGAATACTGATTTATCCACTCACAGAACTTTGCGATTTGCCCAAGGGTAACTCTTCTCAGTTTCTCCAGTAGAAGGTTTTTAATGTCCAATTGTGGCAAAACAAATTTCTAGAAATTGAAACCAGAAAGCCATAGTGGTTACTACCAAAATTGTTGTGGCAGTCTTAGTAAAGTGGGAAATTATCTGTCACAAATAGAGTTAAAAGAGCCTTCTTGCTGGGAGCACTGGTGCATGCCTGGAGGCCCAGCTTCTTAGAGGCTGAAGCCAGAGGAAAAGGTGAGCCCAGGATTTCCAAGACCAACCTGGGCAATAAAGCAAGACCCCATCTTTTGGATATAGCAAGCAGCTATAAAAACAAACACCCACGGGTCCTTGGAAAATCTAGGCCTCCCCCTCAGGGCTGTATCCTTCACTAATGAATACAGTCCACGTTCTGTCAGTGGCATCCCTTGTCGTTCTGTTTAGGGCTGTGTTAGACGTCTGCTGGTATAAAATAATACCTGACCATTGTGAACACACTGCACAATGGTCCTCTTATTTGGTCTTAAGAAGAACATTCTACGTCAGGTGTATCTGTTTGTTGTCATTATCCTGCTTAAGGTTGAGACAACTGAGACTCAAGCTGAGGCAGTCACACCTCAGTAAAAGGCATAATTGGGATAGAAAACGGGTCTCCCAACTCCTGACTCGGTGTACCTTTAATTTCTACCTTATGGTGTAGAGAAGAGAGTTAGAGGACATTGGAATTATATTAAAATTCAGGTCCTCAGCATTGAGCTTCAGAAAATAATGTTACTGTCAATTTCTCTTTCCATTTGAAAAACATAACTTTCTTGCCAAGTTTCCAGGCTTCTAGGCAAGATAAAGCTCTGAAATCTTTTTATGTCTACACTGATGCTCTATTATAGGTAATATATGCCAATCTTCTTCTTCCATAAAGTGAAGCACCTTATTAAGAAAGAAATCACCTGAACTGGGAAATATAATAGGAAGATATTTTGGGTTGATCCTAGATATTGATATTTTTCTTTTGATTCCAAATTTGCAATGATATGGTAGGAATATTCATTAGAAAAATGTCTGATGATTCTACCTAATGATAGTATGATAAATGCTCTAACCCAGGGCTTAGCAAACTATAGTTCATGGACAAATAGGACCTACCTCCTATTTTTTTGTATGGCCCATGAGCTAAGAATGACTTTTTATATTTTTAACTAATTGGAAAAAACCAAAAGAATATATTGAGATATAAAAATTTTTGAAATTCAATTTTCAGCATCCATAAATAAAATTTTATTGGAGTGAAGCCAAACTCACCCAGCTACGTGTTTTGTGTGGCTCTTTAGCCTTCTAACAGCAGAACTGAATAGTAGTGATAGAGGTCAGATGGCCCATCGAACCTAAAATATTTACTATCTGGTCCTTCAAGAAACAATTGTCAATGCCTAATCTGGAATCATCATCTACTCACTGCCAAATTCTGATACCCGTTTCTTTTAGGTGTCTCAGCTCAACTCACCAGCACACGATTAAGGAGAAACACATCAGTGGGCACCCCGTTCTGGATGGCCCCTGAGGTAAGCAAGGTGGATCTAGTTCTTTATGTTGTTGAGTGCCTGGATACTGTGGGTTTTTATGGGTGAGTTATATGTTCTCCAAAATTTTCAGGAAGAAGGAATTCCTGTATCTTCATAAAGAGTTGTAGTAAGTTCTAGTATTTCTGGTAAGATTTCTGTTTTTGGTGAGTGATGCTGATAAGGCTTGATCTCAGAAGCAAGATTAAGTCACAGCTAGCTCACAAGGGACCTTCATGCAGTTAGAAGAAGGTGCCCCCTCCAGGAGATGCAGCCCGCTCCAGGGTCATTGCTGGGCAAGTCCATCTAATCTTTGTCTAAGAAAAGGTCACCTTCCCTGGATGGGAGCAGCCCCAGTGACCCATGGCTTGACAACAAGCCTCATTTCAGTGTCAACTAGTCTACGGAGCCCTAAGTAGTGGCCCTGGTTGTTTTCTGTTGCCAAGTACGTAGCAAATTCTCCTGTACTTTGTTAGTTCTCTGCACTAAAACATGGGATTTGGTCCTATCTCAGTTCTGGCCTCATCACAAAACTCTCTGGGAAATGACACAGGTGGAAGTTTGGGGAACCTTTGAGCTAGATAAGACACACCTTGAAATGCTGGTGCATTCTGCTTATGAGGTCAGTGTTTGATTCTAAAGTCCCCAGGCCTCCTCTGTGGAAGGAAGCAAAGGCTCTCTAAATACGAAGGTGCAGGCAGCCACCTCCCTAGATGTTTTTCCATCTCCTCTGTGCATTTGGACAGCCTTCTGTGTCACTGCCAAGGTGGTCTCCTCACTCAGGGATTGCTTCACACTGATCTCTGCTCAGATTCCTTCAGTGGTTCCCACTTGTCAGTGGCCTGTTTCAGGAGTGAGTAATGGGTCCAACCACCTGAAAAAGAAAACCCTGACATATTGCAGTGTTTATTACAATCTTCCATGTTTCTCAGATAGGCTAGCTTCTTGTCACATACCTACAGAACTATAAAACCCAAAGAAAAAAAGTATATTATGAAAAAACTACAAAGCCAGTGACATGACATTAATGAGACAAATGACACTGTTTGTAAATCTTTATTGTCTTTGACCATGTGATCGCCTTTCAGAGCAGGACCACATGGGCTGAGTCTGGCAGACCTACTGTGGTGACCAGCTGTGTTTAGCCAGTGTGATCTCTTTGTTCAAACTGCACCTCCTCTGACCTCCAACTGTTGCCAGATTAATAATAAACAATACAGGCACCAGAATTAAATGGCAAAGGATCTGGAGTGTGTTTTAACTCCTCCTCCCATTATCATTGTCAGTAGTAGTAGTAACATAATGACTACTAAAATAGAAGTGGAGTTTTCATAGGGACTTGTGGATTCCACTTGGAGACACACTGTGCAATGAAGTCCAAGACTGAGGCAGGAGGATCACAAGTTCAAAGCTAGCCTCAGCAATTTAGCGAGGCACCTAGCAACTCAGCAAGACCCTGTTTCTAAAGAAAAAAAAAAAAAAATATATATATATATATATAGGCTGGGAATGTGGCTCAGTGGTTAAGTGTTCCTGGGTTCAATCTCTGGTACCAAAACAATAATAACAACAACAAAACTTATTGGGATAGTAAACAAAGTCCTTCCTTCATATTCCAGCTCCTCTCTCTCTGTCCAGCTTCATGCTGAATTACTTTTCCCCAACTTATTTGTTCTTAATACTTCAGCAGCAGTGAACAACAGGCAATTCTCCAAATCCGTACTGATAAGTCATTCAGTTGAGCCCTGGTGTACTGTTACATCATCACCCAGAATGACCCTCAGAGCTCTGGAAAATTCTTCCTTAATCTCCAAGTCTCAACTCAAGTGCCAATTTTCCTAGGAAATCTCCCCTAATCCCTGGATAGGAGCCAACACTAAAGCCTTCCACCCTCCATTAGTACACTGTTACCATGGCCCATAGCAGCAGGTGGGTGGACTGTCCATCTGGACTTTAAGCTCTGGCAGAGATTTGGGATGCCCAATTCTCCACACAGAGTAGATGCTCATGTGAGGAGGGTTCCTCAGCTAGAGCATTAGTAAATTTCTCTGTAGATTTTGGTTGATTTGTTCTGAAAGGAAAGCTTAGCCGAGGTCACTCAGCTCATATTCAGATGGCATAACATGACAGACAGTTCTTATCCATAGCAGACTGGTTCTCAGGAACATAAGATGTAATCAAGAAAGGCCTGAGTCTAGCTTCATACATTTATGAGGAGGTCTTTGTGACTTTCTAGCTTCAGCTGGGTTGAACAACATGTGGAGTGCTTCTGTGAGGGGAAGTTGGGTGGTCCTCTGTGAGCTCCTGTTGCCCAGACTGCATGGAAGCAGTTCCCTTCTTGGCAGGGGAGAGCCAGCCACATCCTGCCTGCTGCAGTGAAGAGGAGGCAGTTCATGGTGTGGGGACCTTGCAGCACCTTTCAGAAGCAGGTGTCTGATCTCTTCCAGCAGGGTTCCGACAGGATGCATGCTCCTGTCCACTATGTTCAGGGACCCAGGCTTATATCATCCTCAGGTTTTTATTTTCCAAATGAAGAATTGCTCTTTCCAACAAAGTCTCTTTTTGCTCCATAATCCTCTGTTAGTCAGCATTCCGTATTGTGATACAATATTCTGAGAAAAACAGCTTAAAGGAGGAAAGATTTACTTTGGCTCACAGTTTCAGAGGTCTTAGTCCATGGTATGCTGCCTCTGACGTTTTGGGGCTATGGTGAGGCAGGACAACATGGTGGCAGGGTGTGGGGGGAGCAAAGCTGCTCACCTCATGGCAGCCAGGAAGCTGAAAGAGGGAGGGAGAGAGAGTGAGAGAGAGAAGGAGGGGGTCAGAGACAAGATAAAACCCTTCAAGGACATGTCCTCAGTGACCTACTTTCTCCAACTAGGTCCTACCTCCCAGTCTCTAGGACCTTCCAGTAGTCCACTCAGCTGTCAATGGATTTATCCACTGATGATGTCAGAGCCCCCATGATCCAATCACTCCCCAGAAGTCCCACCTCTGAACACTGCTGTATTGGGCAGCAAGCCTTCAACACATGAGGTTTTGGCAGACATTCCAGATCAAAACATCCACCATAGGAATGTCCACAGGAGAACCTTCCATTGGTCAGTGCAATTCAACAAATGTTCCATTGTGAGCCATGCTTGGGATCAAATGCAATCCTAGAAAGTATAATTCAAAATGGTTGAAATTAACTTTGTTTTCCTATGACAGCCTGCATAGTACATTGATCCGTAATACACATTCCCTTCTGTTTGTGTGAATAAGTGGATTTAGATTAAATGTAACAACAATGCATTAAATACCAATGCCAGTGGAATAAGCCCATTGCAGATGACCTGAGATTTTATTTTTAAGATGGAACTGAAAGATCCTTGATCTTGTTTTATTTTTGAGAAATTGAGCCACGTTTTTCTTTTTCTATTTTTATCCCCATTTTTATTTCACAAGCTTGAGTAGCCACAACAGTTAATTCAAATAGGCTGTACTACAACCCAGGTAGCTAATGAAATGTGACCACACCACAATCAAATGTTGACGAGCAGTCAAGATGCACAGTTCACTGGGGCAGCTCGAAGCTGCTGCACTAATCAACTGTCACATCCACATTCCCCACTCGTTTCCTCTCCCTGCCTGATTTGGACATTACTAAAGTTGAAAAATACTGGTGGAACAGTATCACCCTAACAAGGTAGGAGAAGAATAACTATGGGAGACCAACCTTGCACATGACTGAGTCACACTCCCTGGCTGGGTGCTGAGGCGCTCAGTCACAGAAATGTGGCAGAGCTTTCCCCACCCTTCTTGGGTTTAAGGAACGGTGTCTCGTGCATGGGTGTGTCTTCCTACAGCCCCATGGGTGAAGCTATGCTCACCTGTTCCTTTGTAATATAACCCCTTGCCCTGTTTAGGATAGAATCTTCCATGGAAGTGCCTTGTGTCTGTCCCCTTCTCTTACTGTGCCCTTGGGTGTGGCCTACCCAGGTGTCAGTCAACCTGTTGACAGTGGACATCATGAAGATAGACTCAGCCCCCTGAAACCTGACCCCTTGCCTCAGTTGAATAGCTTCTCCTCAATAAAAGGGGTCAGCGCGTGCTCTCCCTCTCTCTCTTTCTTCGGACCCTTAAGGTCAGAGGAGCCGTCACAGCGACCCCAAAGAAAAAGGTATTTGTGTCTCTTGTGTGGTTATTTCATGCAGCCCAGTTAGCCCAGTTTAACTGGAGTGACCCCTGAGCCTTTTAGTCTCGAGAGCAGAAACCTGGCAAATAACTATGGGGTACCCTTAGCATCTAGTATTTTGAAATGATATTATTGGGGAAATCAATTGTGTGGTAATCTAAAAATCAAGACCAGTACAATGTTTTATAAACGAAATATCTCAGCAACATACTGTGACGACAGGGAAAAATGTCTTAAAAAGGAAAGAAAGAAGTTCAACATAGAAACTAGGGTTTTAGCTGGGTGTGGTGGCACACACCTGTAATCTCAGTGGCTCAGAAGATTGAGACAGGAGGATTGAAAGTTTGAGGCCAGCCTGGGTGACTTAGTGAGACACTGTTTCAAAATAAAAAAAAATTAAAAGGGGTGTAGCTCAGTGATAAAGGGCACTTGAGTTCCATCCCTAGGACCAAAACAAAACAAAACTATGTGTTGAGAATATTACTATGAGAAAATATTTAAATAATAGAAAATTATGTTTCATATAATAGGAGCAGAGGGAGGTAGATCCAGAGGCTGTTGATTAAGCAGCCCAATAAAGTCTTCAAAAACTCAATTCTTGACCAGCTGCGGTGGTGCACACCCATAATCCCAGAAGCTTGGGAGGCTGAGACAGAATTGCGAGTTCAAAGCCAGCCTCAGCAATGGTGTGGCCCTAAGCAACTCTGTGAGACCCTGTCTTTAAATAAAAATATAAAAATAAAATAGGGCTGGGAATGGTTCAGTGACTGAGTGCCCCTAAATTTAATCCCTGGTATCCCTCTCAAAAAACCCTTCAAATTCTTAA